TCTCTTGTGGAGGCTGAATAGGTTCAGGTCCTGTAGCCTCTCCTCATAGGGCCTGCCCTGCTGCCCCCTGATCATGCGAGTGGCCCTCCTCTGGACCCTCTCGATGCTGTCCACATCCCTCTTGAAGTGCGGCGCCCAGAACTGGACGGAGTACTCCAGCTGCAGCCTGACCAGTGCCACATAGAAGGGGAGGATCACCTCTTTTGACCTACTTGAAATGCATCTGTGGATGCATGACAAGGTACTTCCTAACTGCCTCCCCACACTGCCAACCCATGTTCATCATGAAATTCATCTTTATGTTTTGTTTTTTTTAAACTGACTAAAGTCGAGCTAACGATTTTGTTTAAAATCTGTCACAAAGGATCAGTTACAAAAAGGCAGTAAAGGTTTCCTTAGGTAAATCTGATATCTTTTATTAGACCAACTGAAATAGTTGGAAAAACTCTTTTTTGCCAGATGTGTCCTGAAGGTGTTTGTACCTGCAAGCTTGCAATAAAAAGAATTTTTCCAACTATTTTAGTTGGTCTAATAAAAATTAAAATCGGATTAACCCAAAGAATCTGACCTGCCTATGTCCTTAGACCAGTGCTTTCCAACCAGTGTGCCATCAGAAATGAACAGGTGTGCTGAGGAATTTTGCCGTGGCAATGAGCTGCAGTAGACATGAGGATGAGGAATATCTTAACACGCGTGCCACAGAAAAATTTTTATTAACGTAAGTGTGCCTTGGGCTGGAAAAGGTTGGGAAACACTGCCTTAGACCAACATGGCTACAGCTTATACCGCTCAGTCAAGAAAAAAAAACAAAAACAAACAAACACACACATTTTTGTTGGTTCAACAGTTCTAGCTTTCTAACCAGCATGAAATAGATTTTTCCCCCCCTTTGGTTTACATCATATACATTGGTATACTTGGGAGTACTGGCCAGTGTAAAAAGAATTATTCCTGACTTACAGCAATGTAACAGAATTTAGTTGATGACTTCAATTCTTCTCCCCATCTCTCAGTGTTTGGAATCCAATCAGGTGATCTTCCAAGGCAAATGCATAAGGATGGTTTGGGGTTTTTTTGTTTTTTTTAAAACAACAACAAAAACACAAATTCCTCTATATGTAGCATTAAATAAAAAAGTTTTGCAAAACTGTAAAAGGAAATATATATATGGCCTGATTTTGCACCACCTTTTAATTTGTTTAATCATGCAAAGCTGCTCAAAGTGATGGAAAGTGATGCCAGATCAGAATAGTAGCCTTTTGCACAGGTGAAAGCAGTTATAGAAGATTCAAGACAATTTAAAAGTTAAATCTTTTGCATTTACCAACTGAGTTGTACAAATTTGGAATAACCTGTTTGGTAAGTGTTGAAAACATCATTTACCGAGACCAAGATGCAGAAAGCTCTACATACCTTAAAGATATTGTTGTCTAAACACCAGGGAAACAGAAACCACAACGCAAAACTTTGCTTTCTTGACAAACTGTATCTAGCAGAGCAATTCACACTTCAAACCTTTTTCTTCAAGATCTGTACCAGAAGGTGACCTATTAAATAACAATATTTTGAAGTACACATGTCCCAGCTGTTCCCATGAATACACTGCAACATGTTCCATAAATTAAACTAAAAGGAATGGGTTTGTAAGACTTGTGTAACGTTACACAGCATGACCATACACACAGACATTATTCTGAACAACTCTTGGTACATGAATCCAGTACTCGGTTTCCCTCCTACGTTTATACTTTGGAGCAGCTAAGTGGACTAATGATTTTGTTATCACAGCTACCTTACCCAGAAGGTTTCAGGCAAAATAAATAAATAAATAAATAAATAAATAAATAAATAAAGGGGTCACATTTAGGAGTACATAAAAGCTGGCATGTTCGCTTGCTAGTTTCAGCCCAACTTCTTCCACTGGTTTATGAGCAGGTGGGGAAATTGAGCAGACTTCTGTCATTCATCAATGAAGGGTTGGATCCAGTAATTTGGGAACAAAAACCGTATTTCATGGCCACAAATTTTCATCAACCACGCAAAGGGCCCGATCCCTTACCCTCGCAGGTGGCTGGGGCAGTATGTGTTTGGGTGGCTGTCTCCAATGGGGCTACTCATGTGAACAAGAACGGAGAGGATCAGCTTGTAACTTGGGGGGAGGCAAGGCAGAAGCTGAATGCAGGGGCCCTGAGCAACCCCCCTAGGGGCTCCCACGGACAAGAGGCCTGGGCGGGCACGGAAGACCCTGAGGAAGCGGCGGCGGGACGGAGAAGAGGCGCAGAGGAGCTGCCAGGAGGTGCGAGGGGCTCTGGCAGGAGCCGGCGCCTCACGAGCGCAAACCCGTCCCCCTGCCCTGCCCTGCCCTGCCCTGCCCTGGGGGCACTTACCGCGGCCACCAGCTCCGCGGCGAGCCCGAGAGCGAGCAGGAGCGCGGCCCTGCAGGGGGGAAGCAGAGAGAAGCGGGGTTAGATCGGC